GTGCCCATGAGCATCCAGAGTCTTTTCAAGGTGCCCGCTAGTTTTCCGTGTGCTGGTCTGGAGTGAAAGGCCTCCTACCCCCTCCGCTCGTTCCTCCTGCTATGTGTAAGGAAGAAGGAAAAAGAAGAATAAAGAATATTTATGGAGCAAACCAAGTGAACTTGATTAACAGGACAGGCCCAATTTTTGAGAAATTGCAAGACTGCCCAACCTCTGCTTGGTCTGAAGATAACAGCAAGTCAAATGGAGGTGAAAAACATTGCGTAAATAAACAAGGACCAGGAAATGGGCTTTAAGCAAGATCTTGACCTTGCTGGCAAAGCTACTTGACATGATTCTTACCAGACTGTCTTTTATCTTACCCTATTTTACAAGAACTAAAGCATAGTCCTGTGAACTCCACTCTTCTTCCAAGATAATGGCTGTTGCTCCCTTTCGAAACCTAATGCATGATATTTGGAAGGGTGTGGGCCATTTGACTATAATGCACATTCCATTTTTCCAATATAATAATTCTATCTTAACAGATAACAGATAATGGGAGTTGGAAGGGACCTTGTAGGTCATCTGGTCCAACCCCCTGCCCAAGCAGGGGACCCTACACCATTTCTGACAGATGGCAGTCCAGTCTCTTCTTGAAAGCCTCCAGTGATGAAGCTCCCACAACTTCCGAGGGCAACTTCTGTTCCATGGGTTGATTGCTGTCACTTTCAGAAAAATTCTCCTTATTTCCAGATTGAATCTCTCCTTGTTCAGTTTCCATCCATTATTCCTTGTCTGATGCTTTGGAAAATACCTTCCCCCACCACTCTCTGTGGCAGCCTCTCAAATATTGGAAGACCGCTATCATGTCTCCCTTGGTCCTTCTCTTCACTAGACTAGCCACGCCCAGTTCCTGCAACCATTCTCCATATATTCTTCATATGTCTTGGAACAGAATTGTGTGCTATATTCTATTTTGAAAACAAATTCATGACCTATTCATCTCAAAACAAGAAGCGAACTCTTGCAAACGTCCTACAAAACAAAGTTACTAATTTCCCAATTTATTTTCCAGATTTAATTCACCCCTTGAAGCTGTGTTAATGTTTCAGATTTAAAGAAGTAACAAGATTTCAAAAGGTTCTTGTAGGAAGAGAGCCTACAATGGTTTACGGTAGCCAAAAAGCAGAAGAAAAATGGATTGCAACTTTTCTGTTTTCTTTTTCAGTTTGTCTCCGAGAGACAGCCCTCGACTTTCAACCGTTTGTTTAGTGATTGTTCAATGTTAAAGCAGCATCCCTGGAAGCTTTCAAGAAGATGCTGGGCTGCCATCTGTCAGAAATGGTGTAGGGTCTCCTGCTTGGGTGGGGGGGTTGGACTAGATGACCTCGAAGGTCCTTTCCAACTGTATTAATCTGTTAAAGTGACGATGATCGTTTTTCACACTTGTGGCCATTGCAAGCATTCCCGTGATCATGTGATCAAAATTCAGACAGTTGGCAACTGACTCGCGTTTATGACAGTTGCAACATCCCAGGGTCATGTTTTGCAAACTTCTAACAACCAGAATCAATGGGGAAGCCAGATTCACTTAACAACTGTGGCAAGAAAGGACATACAATGGGACAAAGTTCACTTAACACCTGTCTCACTTAGCAACAGAAATTTGTGGCTCAATTGCAGCTATAAGTCCAGGATGACCTTTAACCCATCAGATCCATACCATTAATTATCCATCACGTTATATCCGCCTTTCTTCAGAAGCCAATAAAAACATGATGCAACTTTATTATTACTTTGTCATTTATTTGATTAATGTACAAGAAAGGTGAACTTCGAAAGGTTCTTCATTTCAAATGAGAGAAGAGGAAACATCACTCGCAGGACTCACGGAAATGCATGTTTAACGCTTCCTATAACTCTACCTTTAAAAAAATGATTTGCATTATTTAAAGAGACAAAACTCCTGAGAATCACTATTGAAATATAAATATTCCACCAAAATCACCTTTTGGTGTGTAAATTATCAAGTATCACAGGTACAGGTAGCAATCATAAATGGCACAGAAACATCTAGCATTTTTAAGGACACAGTTAAGATTGGTGTTTTTTTTTTTACAGAAAAGCAACAACACGATTTCACAGTTGATTTTATAAATTTAACCTAAAGAAGGAACTTGATTTGTCATGGGAATCTAGAAATTCTCCCTGATAACTATAGATTCAACTACTCCGATTACAGAGTAGTCTATAATCTTAAGAAAATATCTTCCATGGTTCAAGTAGTAGAGGATGAAGGAAGGAAAAAGTTTCGTCGGAGCCTTAAATTACAAAATATAAATGAAATCAAAATTACTTTTTGACAAAGCCTTTTGCATTGTGACTCTGTGGGGCAGGGAGAATAACTCAATGGGGATTGGGGAATGAGTTGTCTGGTCTGAAGGCAGAAAATTGCTTGCAAACACGAAACAACTTGTGAGAGTAACTCATTTTGTAAGGCATAAAACAACCACAATAAGAGAGATCTACCAGATTTTTCACCAGCAAGTCCACTCCAATCAAGAATAGCAAAGTTCCTTTTGAAGCCCAAACTAACTAAGAAGTGTTCTAAAACCTTGTCCACCACATTCACAAGCTTTGCAAAAATGGTTGCAAGAACTGGGTATGTCTAGTCTAATGAAGAGAAGGACTATCCAAAATTATCTCCTAAATGCTGGAATGCGATAAAGAAATTGGAACATACTATCGTGTATGGTGGAAATGTGAAAAAGCCCAAACATATTGGTCGAAAATTAGAAATTGGTTAGAAGAGATGTGCAAAATTAAAATAGAATTTAGACCTGAAATCTTTCTACTGGGAAACAATGTGGGAAAATATAATAAAGAGATAATATATTTAATAGTCATCACTGCTGCGAGGCTAGCCTTTGTCCAAAGATGGAAAGGTAATGATATGCCAGATGAGATGGAAATAATTAGGAAAATTTGGATGTGCACTGAAATGGATAGAGTAACTCAAGAATTAAAAAATAAGACTGAATCTGAATACTACAAAACTTGGGAGAAATTTCACCATTGGTTAAAAAATAGAAAGGAATCAATGTATTAATGATGACTAAAGTTTATGTATATATGTAAATTTGTATTTTTTTTGTTATATGCGTTATTCGATGATGTAAGATAAGCAGGTGTATTGGGATGTATGCATCATGTTCATTGTTTTTAAATGCTTTTTCTTTTGTTTCCTTAATAAAAATTTAAAAGAAATAAAAAAAATTTAAAAAGAGAAGGACTAGAGGGTGACATGATAGCAGCCTTCCAGTATTTAAGGGGCTGCCACAAGGAAGAGGGGCTCAGCCTCTTCTCCAAAGCACCTGAAGGTAGGACAAGAAGCCATGGGTGGGAAATTAATCAAGGAGAGAAGCAACCTAGAACTAAGGAGAACTTTCCTGATAGTGAGAACGATTACACAGTGGAACCGCTTGCCACCAGAAGTTGTCGGTGGAGGTTTTTCAAGAAGAGATTGAACAGCCATTTGTCTGAAATGCTACAAGGTCTCCTGCTTGATCAGGGGGCTGGACTAGAAGACCTCCAGGGTCCCTTCCAACTCTGTTATTCTTTTCACCATGTACATCAATTTAATAGGACCCTTTGTTGGTAATAATTTCTCCAAAATTTGCCACCCCACCCAGGCATGAAAATACCGTGATGCTCTCAAATGTATTTGCACTCATCAAGAAAATAAGCTGATACATATCCAAATACAATGCAAAAAAAAAAATGCTTTGTACATGGAGCCTTTCAATATTACATGACTTTCTTTTTCAATGGGTTTTGCAATGCAAACAAGGTCACAAAATTGTTAACCAGCCAGCAAACCCATGGAGCTCAGAGTGGCAGGAAGTCAGTTATTCTGTGAACATTCATAGCTAAGAGACATTTGGCTATAAGGCACAAATATCTTTAATATCACTTTATAAGGCCTTGGTAAGGCCACGCTTGGAATACTGCATCCAGTTTTAGTCGCCTTGATATAAAAAAGATGTTGAGATTCTAGAAAGAGTGCAGAGAAGAGCAACAAAGAGACTGGAGGCTAAAACATACGAAGAACGGTTGCTGGAACTGGGTATGTCTGGTTTAATGAAATGAAGGACTAGGGGTGATGTGATATCAGTCTTCCAGTATCTCAGGGGCTGCCCCAAAGAAGAGGGAGTCAAGCTGTTCTCCAAAGCACCTGAGGAAAGGACAAGAAGCAATGGATGGAAACTAATCAAGGAGAGAAGCAACCTAGAACTATGGAGGAATTTCCTGACAGTGAGAACAATTAACCGGTGGAACATCTTGCCTCCAGAAGCTGTGAATGCTCCAACACTGGAAGTTTTTAAGAAGAAATTGGATAACCATTTGTCAAAAATTCTATAGGGTTTCCTGCCTAGGCAGGGGGTTGGACTAGAAGACCTCCAAGGTCCCTTCCAATTCTATTCTACTCTATCTTGGTGAAAACCTAAATGATAATAAAGTGATAATAATCTTCAATACAGCTTGTCCTTGACTTACAATAGTCAGTTTAGTAACTGTTCAAAGTTATAATAGCATTGAAAAAAGGGACTTGCGGTTGTTTTTCACCCCACCACTGCACCAGCCCCATGTTCACATTATCAGAATTCAAACAGTTGGCACCTGACTCACACTTATGACGGTTGCAGTGTCCCAGGATCCTCTTTTGCAACCTTCGGATAAGCAAAATTAACAGGGGAAGCCAGATTCACTTAATAACCATGTTGCTAACTTAAGAACTACAGTGATTCATTTAACCATGTGGCAAGAAAAGCTATAAAATGGGGCAAAATTCACTTAACTTTGTTTCCGCTTAGCAAACGAAACATTTGGAGCCTAAATTGTGGTTATAAGTCGAGGACTAGCTGTATACATTTCTCTTTGGCTAGATTTGCATAGTAGACCAGAGGTCTCCAAACTTGGCAACTTTAAGACTTGTGGACTTCAACTCCCAGAATTCTCCAGCCAGTAATTCTGGGAGTTGAAGTCCACAAGCTTTGCTGGCTGAGGAATTCTGGGAGTTGAAGTCCGCAAGTCTTAAAGTTGCCAAGTTTGGGGACCCCTGCAGTAGACTAACTGTAAGTTAGCCAACTGAATTTATCCCAAACATTCAATTCCATCTCAGGGAATCAGCAACACACGGTACAGTTAAACATTGTGTGAACAACAAATGCTGGGTTATCTTCCCAGGGTTTAAGAACAGGCCAAATCTAAGATCCGAGTTAGATGCTAGTTTCCAACATTCACATTTAAACAATCACTTTGTTTGGGAGTAGTCCCTTCATAAAGAAAACAGGCAGTATGTTCCCCCAACATACAATGTTGTATTAACCTTCATATCAAGCTTCCAATGATTAGAAATGGTGGCACTCAATTCCTTCGGTGCCGTTTCCCAAGAATCAACTTCACCAGTTGGAGAAATTATGGAGCTGAAAAGAAAAGTGACAGAATAGACTTAAATTCATTTCTTCATGCGTCGAGAGGCACCAATCTCACTTCCCTCTGAGGTCTGATTATTCACTGCTCTCCAAAGCCCACCCAGCGTGATGCTATCCCTGAAGTTGGCTTTCAGCTCTCTGGATGACCTTCGCCAGCATCTCCCAGCCCTTCGTCCATGCCACCTAAGGAATGAAGGGATGACCAGAAGGATCCTGGGGAAGGAGAAGTCAGGCTTGGCCTCCTAATCATCGTCGTCATCTTCATTCCGGTGCCGGTACTTGAAATGGACCACGGTCATGAGGATGCCGCCCAGTAGGCAGGCAGCGCCCACGACCAGGTAGGCAATGCCAAGGAAGGGATTCTTACCCCCCATCCAAGAAAGGGTGCTCAGAATGATCTTCTTGCTCCCGTGGAAACCCAGCACGGGGTAACTGTAGTTGATGTTCAGGTGGTAGGTGCCCTGGGGCAATGCCGCCGAGAAGTTGTCTTGGCGGATGCGGGCGTAAAGCTTTCGGAAGGTGGGAAGGGCGGCCGTGCGCATCCAGACAATGAAGGCCTCGTTGACAAAGCCCGTGTTGTTGCTGTCGTTGGGGTCCAGCTCGCAGGCCGTCTTGGACCAGAAGGGAGGCTTGGCCGTGCCGCTGAAGGCCTTACACAGGCTGTTGTTGACCGGCTCTGGATTGTGGAACTTGACGTTGGTGTCAGTCCACCAGGAGATGCCCCCTTTATCCAAGGTCACGAGGGCCAGAGAGCCGTTGGCCTGCTGGTAGAAGAGCTCAAAGGTATCGTTGAAGAGGCTGTTGGCCACCGACCCGCAGGGCGCGATGGGCACCCCTTGTCTGTTGTACTGGTAAGGCTTGCACTCTTGGGCAGGGTGGTGCAGCGCCCAGGTCAGACCGCTGAGCTGCTCGTCGTCCCGGGAGATGCTGTAACGCCGGTTGTTCTGGAAGTAGTTGGAGAGCTGGTAGTAGAGGCAGACAGGCAGCGGGAAGGCGGTGGGCAGCCGGAAGTGCAGCCAGCACTGGCAGGAACGTGCCCGGCGTGGGTTGCGGCTGTTGGTCAGGTTGGCGCACCTGGAGCAATTGGTGCCCGGCATGCCGGTGTAGTCCAGCTCCACCTCCTGGATGCCCTCCGAGGTGAAGTAAAGGCCCAGCCCGATGGCCAAGAAGGCGAGGCCCAGCCCGAAGAAGAGAGGCAGCACAGTGCCAGCCGACAGCAACGGCTGCCAGGCCGGAAGGCGCTGCTGGGTGAAGGCCGTGTTGTCCGGCCGGTTCTGCTGCGGGGCCGCCTCGGGGAAGGCGCGGCTGACGTTGTACGAGCCCGAAGCCATGCTGCCCCTCCGGCCGATCCGGCTCCGCTGGCCCCGACGCCCGCTCTTCGGCCCTGAAGACCGGGACGTGCCTTCGGATCGGCCGAGCCCGGAAGCCGCCCGTCCGCCCGCCAGCAAGAGAGAGCGGAGGCCGGCAGGGACAGGTGGGCGGACCGCGGCTGGCTCTCGCGCGGCTCAGGTGAGGGCGGCGGCCTCGGACGGATGGGCCGGGCAAGAAGGCGCAGGTGAGGCCGAAGTCCAGGGACTCGCCGCCCAGCCCCGCCCCGCCGGCCTCACCTGCGCGCCGGAAAAGAAGGCACAGGTGAATCCCGAGCCCACGTCTCAAACCCCCCCACTCCGCCCAGCCGGCCTCACCTGCGCATCCGCAAAGAAGGCGCAGGTGAGTCCGGATCTCAGAACTCGCCGCTCCGCCCCCTCCGGCCTCACCTGCTCCCCGGGAAAGAAAGCGCAGGTGAGTCCGGAGCCCAAGTCTCAAACCCCTTCCCCCAGTCCAGCCGGCCTCACCTGCGCGCCCGCAAAGAAGGCGCAGGTGAATGCAGAGCCCAAGTCTCAACCCCACCCCCGCCCCTCCAGCCTCACCTGCCCCCCGGAAAATAAGGCACAGGTGAGTCCCGGGCCCAGCGGGAGGCGACACCGCCCACCCACCCATCCGATGGGTTCGAGCCGAGGTCCGCGGACCGGGCTGGCGAGGGCGCGATGCCCGTCCAGGTGGGGCGTTCCGACTCCGCTGGCTCTGCCCTACTGCTGGTTGCCTGCGGAGCGTCGGTGCAGTCCTCTTCGGGTCGCGTATCCCTCATTTTGGCTTTCTCCAGCCCATGATGGGGGGGGGGGGGGGGGGGGAGGCCGGGCGCGCTTCTGCTGCCAGGACACCCCCCCCCCCCCCGCGCGCGCCCCCATTCCTGCTTCCTTGGCAGCTTGAAGACACGTGGACCTGGGAGCTGAAGTCCCCGCCTGGACTTGCATTAAATAATAATTGTTCAGTGAGAACAACCAGCGGAAAAGTTTAGCCCCGTCTAGAACAGACATCTCCAAACTTGGCAACTTTAAGACTTGTGGACTTCAACTCCCAGAATTCTCAAGCCAGCTGGAGAATTATGAGAGTTGAAGTCCACAAGTCTTAAAGTTGCCAGGTTTGGAGACCTCTGTTCTAGAAGTTGTGGGTGTTCCATCGCTGGAGGTTTTTAAGAAGAGACTGGACAATCACTTGTCTGAAATGGTATAGGGTCTCCTGCTTGAGCAGAGGGTTGGACTAGAAGACCTCCAAGGTCCCTTCCAACTCTGTTACTCTCTATTCTGCTTTTGGGAGAGAGAAAACGGGTCGTTCTGGCTAGCCCTCCGCCTTACACTCTTTCCCATTTGTCCTCCAACCTCCCCATCTATAAATCTCTTTTGTCTCCCTTCCATCTTGGAGTTTATGGATCATCTCTTTAAATGGGTGATTTGATACTTGGAGATGACAGGAACCATGAAATACCCAACTGAGTCATGAGGGGACAACATGTCCTAGTCCAGAATGGAATGGAATAGGAATAGGAATAGAAGATAGAATAGAAATAGAAGATTAGAATATAATACTCTAAAATGGAATGGAAAGGAAAGGATAGGATAGGAATAGGAATAGAAAAGAATAGAATAGGAATAGAATAGGAATAGAAATAGAATAGTAGAATAGGATAGGATAGGATAGGATAGGATAGGATAGGATAGGATAGGATAGG